ACAAGCCGAAAACGAACACAGGATTCCACGCAAAACTGTGCTAGACCAGACCTTCTCAGATTAGAACTATTCTCAAAGAACACCCTCCATTTGAGCGCCGCCTGTTCCCAAAACCGCACTGTGCGGTCGTTTGGCTCTAATTCATTGTCCGAAATCATCATTCAAGTGATGGAAATCAAAGGCCTCCTCAATTGGACCCTGCGATTTGTTGAGTTTATCGGTTTATTGATTTGTGAATACAAGTTTTATAGAATTTGTGTGACCCTAGCTTGGTTCTACTTGGCCTGACCGCTCTCGTGAAATCCTTTTCTTGGGAATGTCATGAACAGCGCCCGCTCGCTCTTATACACACACGCGGGCGTATCAGACCAGCTCAAGCACGGAGGTCTGAGGTTAACATGTTCGTATGAGAAGAGAGCATTTTTTGCACGCAGCCGCTCAGTATTGAATAGCATCGGAGTCCAAATGGTGCCTACCAACTATTTGCCCAAAGGTGAAATAAGGTCACTCCGAGCCCTGGGAAGGTGGCCCACCTTGGTTTTGAGGTTCCTGATCGTATTGATCCATCTGATTCCTGCCACCTTCTTCGTCTGCTCCGAGAGTCCTGCCTTCCACAGCTGCCGCCAGTTCGCTGGATGCCACCTTCAGCGAGGGGCGAGTGACTCCCGTGAGTGGCGTGCAGTTTGGGTGCGGCTCCCTGCCTGCTCAGCCTCCTCAGCCTCCGCAGCCTCCGCAGCCTCCTCTGCATCACGCTTGGCTTCACCTGGGCCAGCAACGACCCAGACTTGGTTTGGAAGACTTCTAGGGCACCTGCCAGTGGCACTGGAAACATATAGGGCACAACGGGCACAACCGCGCGGAGACTGAGGAAACGGTCAGCATTGAATGGAACATCCCTCAGAAATTGTGGAATTTAAGATGTCCCTAACAATCCTTTGAGCCTGCCATCTGTTGGGGTCTGAGGAGGGGGAATTGGAACTTGGCAGGCCTTCCCGACTCGCCAGGATGTCGATGTCCTCACTTCAGACGCCTCCTTCAGTTCTCTACTCCACGTTGGCATAGCCCCCGAGACCACCTTGAGTGTTGCCTTGAGGCACCCTCTGGATGCACATATCATGACTCAGCTTGGACACCATGGGAGCTGAGGCGGATCCTTCTCGCATCTCAACATTTTTGGCTTGACCATTGGGTATCTTCCTGGTGTTGGCTGCGCGTAGCAGAACACCCCAAGGAAGGGGATGCACACGAGGCATCATGGACTCCAGCCCAACACGGAGCAGCGCTTTTGCGCGACTCGGCCAGGAGCTTGCTCTAGAAAGCTCAAGCTCCTGAGGCACTCGCGCTTAGATGCCTAAGGGGCGATGTGGCCACAGCACAAACCCCTATACTGTTCCAGATCGCCTACATTACGTTTCCTGAACTCAAAGTCCGGTCAGAGTGCGGCTATGGGCACGGACTACGCATGGAAGAGACTCAGAGATGCTAGGGGTTGCGCTCCAACGCCCTGAGAACTGGCGGAAGAAAAGGAAAAACTATATATACAAGTACATAGTTTGTTTGTACATGTTTGTACTTTGCTTTCGCGCTCTTTTGAAGCCCGTATTGGGGAATGTCATATATTACAACCGAAGAACCCAAGGAAAGGCGTTCGACTTTCCACATTTGTCATTTGTGTGAGCTTGTTGATGCCTAATACATCCTAATACAGGTTTCAATAGAAAAAATTAGTATAAAGTTTCCCGGAAATGTTGGTCCACCTTGGTTTTGAGGTTCCTGATCGTATTGATCCATCTGATTCCTGCCACCTTCTTCGTCTGCCCCGAGAGTCTTGCCTTCCACAGCTGCCGCTAGTTCGCTGGACGCCACCTTCAGCGAGGGGCGAGTGACTCCCGTGAGTGGCGTGCAGTTTGGGTGTGGCTCCCTGCCTGCTCAGCCTCCTCAGCCTCCGCAGCCTCCGCTGCCTCCGCAGCCTCCTCTGCATCACGCTTGGCTTCACCTAGGCCAGCAACGACCCAGACTTGGTTCTAGGCTTAGGTTTGGCAATGACGGCGATATATGACCAACCATCAAATATGCATGTGTTGAAACAACCCCCAAAAAAAGGAGCAAAACAAAAGCGAATCAACATGCAAAAGCAAAGCAAGTTTCCTTGTTGTTGCATGTGTTTGCTTGTTTTTGGCTTTTTCCTGGTACCATGTTTGCACTTATGAGAACGTTTACCCGCGAAAAAGATTGAAAACATACAAAAAAAGATGCGAAAATAGAGCCAAAGCATGAAAATAAACTGTGAAAAAAAAACAGAGAAAGGCGACAACCACGCAAAGCTACATGTTTGTGCTTTTCTGTTTGCTTTACTTTTGCTTCTTCTTATTACTTTTATTTCTTCTTCTTCTTCTTCTTCTTCTTCGTCTTCGTCTTCGTCTTCTTCTTCTTCTTTCTTCTTTCTTCTTTCTTCTTCTTTCTTCTTTCTTCTTTCTTCTTCTTCTTCTTCTTTGCTGTGCTTTTGCTTGAGATTTTTTTTGGGTTCCTTGTTTCTATGGCTGCTGTGCCGGACATAATTCTAGGGGATCTGCCAGTGGAGCTGGAAACATCAAAGCAATACGGCACAACGGGCACAACCGCGTGGAGACTGAGGAAACGGTCAGCATTGAATGGAAAATCCCTCAATAATGAATTGGCCAAGTTATCCACGCCCAATCAATGGGCACAGGAACTCTCAATTGCATGCAGTTTCGGACTGAGTTGTGTCCTGAGTGACCCCACGCAAGCGACGCACTTTCATTGCGCGTCTCACCTCCTGAGAAAGGCTCAACAAGAAGGTGAAAATTGATAAACAACTTCCCTCGGAAATGGGGCCTGGAGGATAGTAGAAAAATCTACACAACTCACAAAGAAAGACATTGCAAGAAGTACAGCATGGCTTGGGCTCTTCACTCTTGCTACAATTTCACTCATGTCACTGGCCTCTTCGTAGCGTTCCTGCAGCCGTGCAGGGTCGAAAAAGTCGGAACCTGGAAAGCAGCTGCAAGCTGTAGACGAAAAGGAACACCAAGTGAAAGTGCAAGCACGGCGACTCAATCCTGTGAAATGCCTTTGGTCATCATCCCAACTGGAAACAGTGATCAGGAAAGGTCAAAGGTCCATTGAAAGCAGTCCTTCGGGGGCTCTAAAAGGAAGTTAAATTACCATGTCTGATGATGACACCAAAATTGTGGGGCCCTTAAACACCGCAGTCACGCCTAGGTATTTCTTTTTCTCCTTGCCGTTGAGGAATGGAGAGCCGTCGCCTCTCACGTCCTTTGCAAGAGTGTCTGACAAGTAGTTCTGCCTAGGGCATCTGACAAGGGCATCTCGTTTGAAGCATGGATTCTGCAACATTCTTCCATCGTCTAGTCAGCTATGCTGCAACAAGCTGCCCATTCACCCCACATCCTCGCGCTCAATGTCGGGCATCTCTGTTGCCACAAACTCCACGCTGCCTGCCGTACGATTGCAAGCCCCAAGTCGAAAAGCATGTGCAATGAAATGAGTGCACCTCAGTGCACCTCTGAACCTATAACCGCATGCAAGTGTCGCGGCAACTACTACAGAACAAGTGCAAACTCGGATGGTTTGAACCCCATGTCCGAGTTGCAAACCAAATATTGACGACACCCTAAAAATACAACCTACCATGGCCAGCCGTGGTTCCTATAGCCAGGTGTCAACTACCTTAAACCCTAAACCCTGAACCCTAAACGCTCAGCTGGGCTCTGCTCGGCTGGGATCGCGGGAGATTCCTTATCAGATTTACAGTAATCAGTCTCCCTTTTTGGCACAATACAAGCTTGCCTCGATCTCCAACATACACTTTGCTTTGTCCATAAAGGCTGTCGTTCTACTTTGCTTTGCAACAGCCTCAACTCAATCCCCATCTTTTGATTCGTCCGTCTCTTGCGGCCTGGCTGGCAGTCAACATACTGCGCCTGCGCAGCGGGGGTATTGCCCAGCAAAACAACTTGACGTAGTGCATCAGGAGCTTGTTCAGTCCTGCCCTTATATACCTATCTTGACTACACGGCAAGCCGGACGACCGTCATTGCTTCCAATCAAAAAGCAACAACTTGCTTTGCATCCTGCCAAAGTAACTACAACTCTGCATTCCTGGCCTTCAGAGGGATTCGGTTCAAAAGCGCTTGCCCCTCTGGGGTGCTAAAACAGTCTGGGACTCAGCCGCGCGAGCACAGTGCCAACACAGGTGGAGGCAGGTAGGGAGGAGTTTCAAGACTAAATGACCAAATGCTGCTACGGTAAATGATCAGGTCAGCTTTGCACTGTTTTTAAGTATTCCCGTACTACGTCTATCCGCAAACTGACCAGTCCACAAGAATTATTCAACATCATTACATATAATTATTCAACTCATTATCATGCTGCGTTGATTCGCACTATATATAGGTTGTCATCATGGTAAGAGCATGCGCGCCACATCAGCTTCGCTACATTGCAGCCCCACAACACAGAACCGTTAGAATAATGATGTCCCTTGAATTTCTTTAATATATCATACCCGTATTGGCGTTGCTGTGCATCTGATACTACCAGGCTCAAAATGATATATAACGAACAATGCGGACACCCAATAGTGAGAAGAATGCCCTGGGCACATGATCTAGCACTTTAGCGGGTCACAGCATGAGCCACAGTGTTGCACAGGCACTGGGCCGCCGACAAAATTCAATGTTAAGAGCCTGAGAACTCGAAACGTGGCAGGTCCAACGGTGGGGATGCCCCATAAGCACATTCTGGAGAGAGGTCCGGTATTGCTTGTGGTCAGGTTGGGCATTGTGGTCATGGTGCGTGACTTTTTCAGTACATGTGTCCGCCAAACACGATCAAGCAGCTTGAGGCGGCATCTTTTATCTCTTTGGAGCAACAACTCCTTGAAGACTAGTGACTTGTGGTCGACGGGCTCAGCATCAGTTAGGAATTTGTACAAATTGAGCGTCGAGCATCGCACCTCACATGTCCATGACATCATAGCTCATGGCACCACCCACCTGTCGGTCCGCAGCCGACATGTCTAGAAGACTGGTCTTCCGGACGTAGGACTCGCTTGTGACCACCTCTTGCTCAAACCAGCTTATCCTCTGGGAGATGTCAATGATCTTTGCCAACTTGCCCTGTAGCTTTTGCATCATGTCCATGTCCAGATTCTCATCTGCATCTTCGAAGGACACGTTGCCGGTCTGTTGGTCGATCCTTGCCTTGATCTCTCCTTCTGAGATCATGTCGAACAGAATGGCCTCAACTTCATTGGTATCAGTGGGCATCCCTGCCTCACTAGCTATTTCAGACAGTGACAGTGTCAGGTATGTCTTGGTCAATGTCAAAATTTTGTGGCGCTGCATCGAAGCCAAGGCCTGTTTCACCAGGCCCATGTTTTGATCCGCCTCAATGGCTGGCTGCTTCTCCTCTATGATCCGCTGAAGGGCAGTTGCATCTGCTGTTTTGAAGGACTCGGCAATCTCTAAAACGTAGCTGGCACTCTTGGAGTATCTTTGGAGGATATGGGACGTGTAGACTGGAAGTGGCTTCACTTCACCATGCACCTTGAGACATAGCAGTACATACTTCTTGTACGCATCTGCCTGGATAGCGCTCAAGCATGAAGCTGGACATGTCAAAGCAACCAGCAGTAGCTGAATAGCTTTGGCATACTCCCGAGTGCCAATGCGCACCAAAGCTCCATAGTAGAAGAAACTAAGAAAGCTCTGAGGCGTTACTTGTGCAGGGCTGTTGCTGCTATTGCCGCCAGTACTGATTGAGATGTCATAAATGGCTTGATCCAACAACTGCGCCGCTATATGGTACACCTTCACTTTCAAACCTTGGCTGAATTGGTCAAAGTTGACATGAAAAATAGAAGTACAACAATGACAATACCTTCATTGTGGTAAGGACATGGAGCCACCCAAAAAATTGATTTTACACCATCGCTCAGAAACACACCCTCAGAAACTCCGCGTGCACTGGTGTGAGAGTCTCGGGCGTGTCCTGGAGCTTCTCAAGGCCAGCACGCAGTGGCTTCAAGCTCATTAGCATAGCTGGCTGCCCCAAATCGATGGCCATCTGAGCAAAACTTCGGCACACGGCTGTCATGGGGGGAGGCGGCTTTCTTGGCCTGTTGACTGTCCGCGACCTTGAGGAAATTGCAAATGAAGGCGAAGGTTGCACGTTGGTTGGAAAAGAAGCCGGCACTCAGCTGCGCCTGCAGGAGGAATGCCGTTCCCAAGGTGCACTGCACAGGATCCAGGGCTTGAAGTGCCTGGTCAATCTGACTGGCATTTGCCTTCAAAGTCTCTTGCTCGTGTCTGAGGAAGTCCTTGAGCTTCTTCAAGTCACTTTCATTCTGGGTTGACAGGGTGTGGATCTGATGGACAATGCTGTCCATGACTTTCTTGGGCACAACCGCACAAAGCGACTGTGTGCTGGAGCCACCCTCTGCCTTCTTGAAGGCCTTGGTTCCTTGTTGTCTGTGCCTGGTACGAAACCAAAAGCTTGAGCCAACATGCTACAGGCATTCACAAGTACAAACTGAGAATCGAGAACGATGGGATAGCACGGAAGCATGGCTTTGCCAGCTCTGTCCACATTCCTGGGCCAGACCTCAGACTGTGCTGCTTGCTTCACTGTCTTTGGCTTCGTCACAGCACTGCACCACTTCTTGTGGCATCACGGGCTTGGATTGGGCCAGGACCTTCGAGCTTCGAAACCATCATTTTGTGGATAGCTCCGGAAGCTGTCAGGGGAGTCTTTAGCTGCACAATCCAACACTTGTAGGTGATGAGCGTTCAAAGTCTTGTTGGTCTCGGCCTAACGCGTCAAGGGCCGCGAAGTGCAGTGATACAAATCTCCAGGTGCTCCCAAGCCTGGGGTGAAACGCAAACTCCGTCCGCTGGAGCCTGGCCGGACTATTGGCAGGGCTCCCTGAGAGTCAGATCTCACCTTCGATGGGACACCTGGACAGGTCAAATGCACTCTGACGTTCGAAGGTGCCTAGAAAAGTCTCGAGATCGGGTGCCTACAAAGGTCCGCATACCCAGATTTACCCGGAATCAAAAACAACTTGCGACCACTACATAGCTTAAGGAAAAGCCAGCTGTGCAAGCTTGGTCCCAGAGGCATATCCAACTACCTCCCCTCTCCCAAATAAATGCTCTTGTTTCACCAGGATTGATCATCCCCTTTTGCAATCATGAGTGGGAAATGACAATCACCACGTGACTCTGGTGAAAAACTGCTAAGTTCTTCCTTCCAGCTTTGGCTGTTGCAAAGTGCTGCCAAAGAACGACTGTCAAGACGTGGGATCTCGTTGCTTTGGCTTCGCACCAGTGACTTGGCAGAGGTACGCCACTCGCGTGGATCCCCACGAAAAGCTGGCACCTTCCTGGACGGAGGCTGTGGGCCAACAGGCTCTTCATACTGTTCGTCTCTCAAAAAAACAAAGAAAGTCAAGGCTGTCAATGTGTCAAAGGTCCTCCTTCGCGGTACCCTTCGACAGCTTTCCTCCACTGGAAAGATCGGCAAATCTTTGAGAAACCAAACAGGCGCCTGCAGGGTCGTCAAAAGTCAATCAAACGAAAACAAGAAAACTTCATCTCCACCCTTCGTGTACAATCAGATGGTTGCAGTGGAGAACATGCTGAATGGTTGCAAGCACCCTTGCACCAGCAATATCGACCGATCTTCCAAGGACGTCAATGGCGTGCTGCCAAAGCCTTGCTCCGTCGCCATTTCGGATGGCTTGGAGTTGGCATTGTTCGGCTTGCCTGGTTGGAGCCAAATCATTGACAGGAACTGATGCTTGGCCACGCACATAAAACTTCGCCGGATTTCTTGATCCAAACGAAGGAAAAGCGTTGTCTCCATGCATGGCCCAAGATTTCATCTGGGGGACCCAACTGCATGGCTTGTGGCTGCAGCTTTGACAGCATTGCGAAGTTGCAATGAGAGTGCCTCTGAAAACAATGCAGGAAGGCACAATTGAAAACATATACGATATAATACAAGCTAGTTACTAGTAGCGACAGCTTCCTCCTACTTAGCTACTGCCCCTGACCGGCCCACCGGGCTTTGAACAAAAACGGTCTTCAGATGTTTAACAGCTATATATATATATACCTCGCCTGTCGAATCTGCTGCTCATGTTCCCGGCAACGATCATACCTTGGATGTCCAAACAGAGGTTCAGGGAAGCAGCCGGTAGCAGGCTGCCAAACTGATCCGAACTGGAATGCATCTCTCTGAGCAGCCCTGCCAGTCTCTGCACTCTGGATTCGAACCCACTGCCAGAATGAAATCGTATTGGGGAACACCTGAGTCAAGCTGGGTGGGCTGGGCCTCAACAAAACTTATAGTGAAATGTGTAAAAACATCATTGCTAAACCACACAGGCAAGGGTTCGCAGGAACCACTAAGGCAACGACGGTAGGCCAAGCAACTAGATGCTGCTCTTAGTAGTGCATCATGCTTCGCCAAAAGCCCTTCTGGGACGTAGCTGCCTCGGCCCGGAATACTCCAACCAGTGTGTAAACTGCGAAGTTTTGGCACCCTGTTTTATGCAGAAAATGCGAAAACAGAAGCCTGCAGCACCAATTCATTTGCGTGGTTCTTACCAAGCCGAAGAGCCGGATTTCATTCGGCAAATGTAGCGCCCTGTGCTCAACTCCAAACGGGCCAAGCCAGAGGCCAGCACACCAAAGTGAGGGCCAGAGGGGTGCGTATCCTGAGCCGGCAAAGAAACGCCCCAGGCACAAGCTGGATCTGGCTGGCCTGGTTCCCATTTGGTCCCTTTAGCAGGTGCTTGATTTGTATTTCCAATCCAGGATGTGGGAATGCAACAAATTGATTGCTTTTGGCAAGCAGCTGGCACAGGCCACCAGGCTTCACCTAGCACAAGAAATTGCAGATTCTTCCTCCTCTGAGAGATTGGTCATTGCTTGCCACCTACCGAAAAGTAACCCTCATCATTGCCTCAGCAAGCTCTCTCTCCCTCTCTCTGTCTGTCTGTCTGTCTGGCTGTCTGTCTGTCTGCCTTCCTTTCTTTTTTTCAGTCTTTCAGTCTTTCTGTCTTTCTGTCTGTCTGTTTTTTTTCCTTCCTTCCTTCCTTCCTTCCTTCCGTCCTTCCGTCCTTCCGTCCTTCCGTCCTTCCGTCCTTCCTTCCTTCCTTCCTTCCTTCTCTTTAGCTGATTGCCAACTGCTTTGCCTGCGGGGATGTCCATACGTTCGGCCACCAGAGCCACCAGGGAGGCGCAAGCACTGGCATAGGCAGGCACGCCTAGCAGGGCAAACGAGCACATGCGAATCAGATCGTGCAACTGCTGCGGACCACTAATGGCAAAACCCAAAAGTGTGCAAAACCCGCCGCGTCCGTCACACCCACCCGTCACCCTGCCACGTGCAATGAAGGTGCAAATAGGAAGGGGAATGTGGAGATTGATGCTCGGTTCCCTTCTTTTGTAATTTGTCACTATATATGCCCTATGCACGTTACTCATCCTACTCGTGCCTACGGAGTGGTTCCTATAGCTTCGCTCCGTGATAGGCACTAAAGAAATTTTGGTTGTTGCATAAGTGAAAGGCAAGTGCATTTCCGGAATTTTTTGATGCGGCATCGTGAGATAGAGTGTGTGTGTACCCCTCTTGGAATCACAGGGATCCGTTAGGATTGGCACATCAGCAGGGGGCTGGAGTGTGCTTCATGTGGCAACCGCTTTCGAGTCAGTACGCGCGTCAATAAGTGTGTCTCTCCTCAGTGAGAGCCCAGGGTGACCCCGACGAGTGGCCCCTGTGGACCCGTTGAACGGGGGTGTGTCGTTGTTTCCCTTGCTTTGGGAGCGGGCGGAGTAAGCTTAAGCCAAAGTCATTTGCCAAGACCTGTTGAACTATTGAATTCCAAGCTCACAGCCTCCAGGCAAGCCTTTAGGTGACCGCAGCGGTCGTGAGTAGGGCACGTCGTACGTGGTCGCAGCGACCGAAGCTTTCAAGGTTCATTGGAACCTGTCGCAATCTGAGGCGCACACACAGCGTATACACTTAAGCGAGGCGAGGTCTACCTATAGTGTCTCTAATGAGGTTTGGTTTTGTTGGTTTCCGTCCCCTTCATTTGGTTTCCCCTCTCATTCTTTTCCCCTTGACATACCTTCTTTTCCTCCTTCGTTTCACATCTTCCTGTCTTCATGTTCTGTCATCTCATCTCTTTCCTTCTTTTGCGCACACACGGCTCTGCCCTTAGTATGTACGTGCGAGACCTATGCAGGTTTCAGGCCGCCCAGGTCTTTACAATGAGGTCGCTTTCATCGTTTGTCCCTGTGCACTTGGTTCCCTTTCATCGCAACCACATACACCTTTGTCCCGTCTGGCAACCACATACACCTTTGTCCCGTCTGGTCCCCTTTTCGTGTCTTCATTCTTTTGTCTTTGCTGCGCACACACACACACATACACGCATATCCTTCCTGGCCTTGGCTCTTCTCGCCTCCTAGCGGGAGGCGTGTGTGTCTGTGTACCCCTTGGAATCACAGGGATCCAATAGGATTGGCACCCCAGCAGGGGGCTGGAGTGTGCTTCAGATGTCTCCAGCCAATGAAGACGCATCTGTCGCACTGTGATATAGCTCTGGGACGCCAGAACTACGTACCTGCTGAGTGATAATTTCATCCCCCTTCATTGTTAGGTTGGATGCTTTTAGATGCATTTTATAAACTTTGGGCCCTATAAAGTTGCCTAGAGAGGGTGGATTTTCTATAAAATGCCAAATTGAGCAAAAAACATCCAAACTATAAAATGGGGAAGGTGGATTCTGAACATTGCGCCGAAAAAAACAGCAGGCCTATAGGCCTATATGATGCCCATGATGGGTTCACCATAGCAAATATACAAAAAACACTCTGTCTTTATAATGCAACGCGTGGGCGCAAGCACAAAAAAAGGCGAACGGCAAGCCACAATTTCCAAAACTATGAAATGCCAAAACAAAAGTCGCAGCACATTTCTTCTCATGGCCAGCGAATCTAAGTGATTCGTTACACCCTCACAGGCATTCATCACAAGCCTACCCCTGGGGGGGGCTGTGGGTTGGCATATGGATGATGTATGACGATGCCGCTTTGGAGGGTGGCAATATATAAAATGCCATTGGATGGTGCCGGGTGAGGTTGGGCGAGCCTGCTGCCCAAGTGCAGCAGCGCGGAAACCATCCTCCTACCTTGCCCCCTTGTTTTGTTATTTAAGTTATTCACCCTTGTTCTGGCAGCTTTGAGGAAGCCGTGACTTGGTGCTGCATGGACAGCTTACAGGCAGGTGAAAGCTGCCTCTTTTTGCAAAAACCCACCCACCCTCCCCTGTGTTTGCCCCAAAAGATTCTGTGACAACAGTTTTTCACCAATCGTGATGATGTGATTCGAGTCTTTGGGACTAAGTTTGGGCGTGGGGGGTTGTTTGTGGAATGGTGTGGATTTTGTCCAAAGGTGTCATCCTTGCACGAAAACCTACTAAAAAAGGGCCCCCTAATTGTTTAAAAAATACGGTGACCCTTTTTGGGGGGGCACTACAGGCATTCATCAAAAGCCTACCTCAAGCAGCAGCAGCAGCAACAACCACGGAGCAGCAGCAGCAGCTACCAAGCAGGAGCAGCAACAACCAAGCAGCAGCAGCAGCAGCAACAACCAAGGAGCAGCAGCAGCAGCAGCAGCAGCAGCAACAACAACAACAACAACAACCAAGCAGCAGCAGCAACAACCAAGCAGCAGCAGCAGCAGCAGCAGCAGCAGCGACAACCAAGGAGCAGCAGCAGCTACCAGCAGCAGCAGCAGCAACAGCAGCAACAACCAAGCAGCAGCAGCAGCAGCAGCAACAACAACAACAACCAAGCAGCAGCAGCAGCAACAACAACAACAACCAAGCAGCAGCAGCAGCAGCAGCAACAACCAAGCAGCAGCAGCAGCAGCAGCAACAACCAAGCAGCAGCAGCAGCAGCAACAACCAAGCAGCAGCAGCAGCAGCAGCAGGAGCAGCAGCAGCTACCAAGCAGCAGCAGCAGCAGCAACAACAACCAAACAGCAGCAGCAGCAGCAGCAACAACCAAGGAGCAGCAGCAGCTACCAAGCAGCAGCAGCAACAACCAAGCAGCAGCAGCAGCAGCAACAACCAAGGAGCAGCAGCAGCTACCAAGCAGCAGAAGCAGCAGCAGCAGCAGCAGCAACCAAGCAGCAGCAGCAGCAACAACCAAGCAGCAGCAGCAGCAGCAGCAAACCAAGCAGCAGCAGCAGCAGCAGCAGCAACAACCAAGGAGCAGCAGCAAAGAGCAGCAACAAAGAAACATAGAAACAGGAGCAGCAGCAGCGACAAAGAACAGCAACAGCACGTTGGGAACGGTCAGGGGTGAAGGGTGGAGTTGAACCCGCGGGGGGGGGGTATAGTCCTGATATATCAGGTATCAGCACTCAGGTCCTGGGCTCCCACCCTCCTTGCTAAAGCAAGACAGACTCCAGCTAGCTACAGCTAGCAGCTAGCTTTCGTGATAAGATAAGGACTCCAGAATCAATTCCATCGATTGCCGGTGTCTGGACTCGATCAACGCAGCAAGCAGTCATTGACTGAAAGTTTGACTTCTCATCATCTTTTCTCGAAAGAACAAGTCCAGCACACACCATGCTGTCAAGCTCTTGAACGATTTACACGTTGAATCAATTGGGTCAGCCATGGTGCCTATAGGCAACGAGGCCAATGGCTGGTGCTGCTGGGATTGCTGGCATCGCTCGAAGGCCAACAGGAGCAAACACTCCTTCCAGTTTGAATGATTGAAATGGAGTGCTATGAGGCAGCCGCTGTCGCAATCATTGAAGTGGATCGGAGTCAATGGTTGAACATATTTAACTGACAAAAATATTACATATATATATATATACATATGTCATATTCTTTATAATAATGTGATTCCCCTTCAAGACTCCGTCCGAACCTGCCCGACTCTGTCCTTGAGGCGGCGGAACTTGGCGCGCTCGAGGATGTCCTGTCCTTGGCACGATTCGACTGCATCTTCCATCTTGGACCGATTCGACCGCGCTGACTTTACCGAGCCAAGAGTCGGATCTCCACAACAGCACAGTCCTCACACGTTTGACTCCGCTATGTGCGTTTGGCTCCCCTGCACCGCAAAATGTGCACATCTAAGATCATGTAAGACTAAGCCAATCAAGTCTATTGCATCCATGGTGTCCTGCAAATCTCTAACAGTGTGCCAACTAGAGAACGCTCCACCGATCAGTCGCACATCTCTGGACCCTGCTCCTGCACTGCTTGTACGGTGGCCGTTCGCACATGCAGCAACCCAAGGAGCGCAGCTTCTCCAAAAGATGCTCCAGGCCCCAAAACACCTACAGGGCCAATGTCCTGGCTTTGCTCTGGGCCAAGCCAAGCGCGAAGGGAAAATTACATTGGAGACAGGATGATTGAGGCGTATGTAAAAGGAATGATTGGCTTGCGCCAGTCCTTGGCATAGATTTGCACATAGCCATCCACCAGCACCATCCTCAGTCTGCGGGCTTGCTTGAAGCTTGACAGATGCTGCATTTTGCTCCGCTTGCATCATGACTCACCTGCACAAGAGCTCCAAGTACGAGAATTATTGGATTGCGAGTTGCGACTGCACCCAACAGGTGGCACGAACTCAATCAAGTGCGCATGCTTACAAGGAGGGGGCCCAGCACCTGGCTAGATTTCCCAGTGATGCTTGCGCAACAAGTCTGGCACCAGCCAGCCGCCCTTCCCTTTCCAGGGGTGCCAGGGCGTTGGTATGGACGTACTTGACGAATATGACTCTGCGATCATCAGGAAGAAAGCACCACTATCCAGACCAAGCAAAGCGCCCGACAGCCAGGAATGAATGAGACCGGGACGACACACAGGAAGATCATTCAGCACCGTAAACCCGGATGCTGGATTTACCCTGAGCCTGGACAAGGTAGGCCACCTAACATGTAGCAAAACATTGAATTCAGATGTATTGTATTATATATAAATATATGTGTATATATATATATATATTGCGAGTGGATCTTAATCAGCGAAGTTTGAAGCTATCACTGACGGTCCATAAGCGGCGTAGCGTCGGAACGGAAACCGCACCTTTACTAGTCGCTTGAGCCTTGAGCCAAAGTACATATGGTATATATATATATATGTACAAGTTGCACTGTACGTGTCGCTGCACTTCCATTCGCACCCCCCATGTGAACGGCAACAATATGTTCCGATCACACACGAAAATTAAGGATGTAAGTGCTACAAAGAAATTGTATGATTTGCCGCGAGACTCATATGAGGCTCATACTACGAAACATGCTGGACTAAAGCGGACTTTTACATATAAAGTGTGCAACTATGGCTCAGAACCTTTGAAAAAAAATCGAATTGAACAAGTGAGACAGTCACGAGGCCTCGCTCAGTATCCACTCAAAAGAGCATCGCTTTGATGTAGATCCGAACTGGTGACTTCCACGTAGATGTCACATCGGCAACTGACTTCACACTTCTCAAAAGATGTAGGTTTTTAGTTTGGATACACTTACAGAACGGCAAGTCGGAGAGACAGTCGGTGATTGTCTTCCTTCCATTATGCTCATGGTATCAAATCAGATTGACGATTTGCAATGATACACTTACAGCGTTTCAGGTCAGATAGACATCCGGTGAATGACTTCCTCCCTGGTTTGCATGGTATCCTCATAGTCGTTCAAAGAAATCACCACTGGTGGTAACCTCTCCATCCACGATGATCCCAGCTGCCCTGAGCATCCCACCGATCATCTTCTCCTTTCTTGGACTTTCCCTTGGACTTGCTCTTTCCCTTTCCCTTTTCAGAAGGTTGAGGTACTTCGCGATGTTCTTGCGTTAGCGCCGGCCTCCAAGATGTTCCAGATTGGCCTCCTCCTTTGGAATGTCCTCGGGATGATGAAGAAGTTGTACCTTCTGCTGCATGTGTGTTGGCGGCAAGATCTTCCTGCAAGGCTTGCTCGAACACATCGGTAGCACTGGATGGTGATTTATCATGTGATCTGGCTTTTAGAACAGCCTTCGCCTTGTTCTCCTCTGTTGATGAGGGCCCGAAACTCTTAGGTGCTGTTGAAGGTTTTGGCTCCTCACTTGGTGCTGACGACGGCTTGGCCTCGGTTCTGGGTGTAGATGCTGGCTTTGCCTCAGCTCTTGACGAAGATGCCGTTTTCGCTTCAGACTTAGTCGTTGATGTTGACTTAGCTGTTGCCTTGGCTGCCTGCTTCTTCTTGCCCTGAATCTCCTTGGCCCTATCTCCAAAGCCTAGACGATTGGTAAGAGCTTGAACATGCTTATGTTCTACCACGCTCATCCATCTCTCTGTATGTCCAACGTTGGGGTTTCTGGCCATTGACTCTATGACTTCCTGAGCTTGTGGGGGTAACCTGATCTCATGTTGATCAATGATCAACAGAATAGACTTCTCCCACTTGCTCTTCATTCTCGAGTACATGATGTCCAGAGGATCGATCACCTTGTGGTTGGGTGATGTAATGTCGGTTCTAAAGTAGGAATATGTCCGACAACCATAAATCGCATGGATGCACTTCTGTACCAATTCAGTCATTGCGCTGGCTTTCTTCGCTTTCAACTCCTCAAGCTGGGCATCAGTCAAGTTGGTGGAGTGTTCGAAGTTGCCATATTCCTCCTTGAAGGATTGCGGGGTATGACCAAATGATAGGATCATGAGTGCCACCTTGCAAATGAACTGCTCTCCTCTGAATCGGTGCCAGGCCTCCTCAGTTGTAATATTGTTGTCGTTGGCAAAGATTAACATCATCTCATCTGTTGGATCCAATGGTCTCCCATCGCCATCGATTTCAGTGGAATCTCCTGCACCGAACTTGCTTATCACATCCAGACGCTTCTTTTTCCAATTTGCTTTGAAGTCGGTAAGGCTGGTGCAATAGTAGCTCTTGTACATCAGGGAGATCATGCTCAGCACACATTTGACCACATACCTATCCATCAAACCCGATGCTTTCACGGAGACGTCCTGACAGTAGGCTCTCTCTTGATGCGCATAGATTCGAGGTTCCGGTACTCGACAATAGATGGGGAGATCCTCGTTGTCTTTTCCTTCTTCGGGATTGAACTCGGTCGCTCCATGCTGTGCATAGTATCCCGGTTCATCACGATCTGTCGGTCGATTCGCCTCCGGATGTAAGTCGTCGGTGACGTCTTCATCCTCGGGCTCACCATCTTGACGTTTCTTCCCCTCATATTGTTGTGTGCTCCTCTGAATCTCGATGATCATATTTCGTTCGTCTTCATCTTCTAGATCAGAATCACGACCGTAGTCGATCTCGTCCTCATTGAAAGATGGGGTCTCGACATTGTCACTCTTGAAGTTTTCTGCACCATCAGACGGTTTGGAAGGATCTAGATTGTCCATGTCCTCGTCGTCGTCAGCTGCTTCAGTTTGAGCGATGTCTTCTTCCCAAGCCCTTCTGATCTCGTCCATAGTAGCCTGGTCCAAAGTATCTTGAACATCATCTTCAGGCTCCTTCTCTTCCTTCTTTTCCTCTTCATCGTCGGTCACAAGATCAACGGGTGAATCGGAAATGACAGTGTTGCGAATACCACACGAGAGTAGCCTGCCTTGACAAGATAGACACACGGACAAAGATGAAGAAGTCAAATGCATACATGATGGACACAAAATGTTGCCATCCACGTTGCGATATCCTTCACATGTTCTGGAGATGATTTCGTCCCAAGTTTCCTCACTGATGGAATCCTCGATCAGCTCTCCATTGTCATCGAATTTTACTTCATCGATAAGGGACACGAGCTTTTGGACGCTGTCATCTGTCGCCGAGGCTGACTTCGTGACTTCGTCGGCTCTCTCGAGGATGGTATGCTTCTGAGCAACCCAAAGTCCATGACGTGCCGCTAGAACAACTTGCTCTCCAGTGCTTCCTAGCAGGAGTCTCCTCCATGCCTGAACGTGGTCGTCCCAATACCAAGCACCTCGTACACATCTCCATGGAACTTCTCTAAAAACAACAGTGTAGGAATTCTCCGAAATTCTTCCCCAAGCTTCCTCAAAGTCATGATTGGAACATAAAGGCATACGGGCATTCCCACTCTTGGCCATCTTGATCTCAGAATCTTTGATGATCGATCATCCCACGGCGCAAAGTGGTTGAAGAAAACACTACCTCTATATCCCTCCGTTCCACCAGGGACAATTCCTAGTTTCATAATTGACTCAATATTGGAAAGCGATGTCATGTGAAAGCTTCCTCCAAGCTGCATTGCCACATTCTCTGGAATGAGATGTGAAGTCCACACAGGATATATTGACACATCTTCTTCAAGAACGGTCTCTCTTCCAGAATTGTGAGAGGCAACAGCTCGAATTGCGCAAGGAACGATCCAACGTTCATGCTTCAGAAATGACGGTGCGTCTGTGCCGTAAAACATGAGGTTTGCCCAGATTGCCTTTCCTCTTCGAGTGAGACATCCTCCTTTGAGATGCGAATGGCGGCAATCTGATAGCGTACTCTGTTCTGCAACTTCTTTGCATGCCACATCGCCTTGCATAAATATTGGTATCGCTCTGTCTTGGTATCTTGCTCACGTTGAGTGCCTGAGATAGTACTGATATTGACACCATCGTTGAAGACATGATCATATTCCAGGATCTCATCGATGTTCACCCATCCACCCTCATTGCACTTCGGGGACACATGTGGTTTTCGACCGCGGTGCGATTGAATCCCATTATGCTTTCCCACTCCATGCCTGAGTAGTCTATTGAGTCTATGGCTAATCTCGCTGACCCACTGACTCTCCTCGCTGGACTTGTCGATGCGAATTGCTGGGTTCATCTTTGGTGGATCCGTGAAAGTTGCATCTCTCTTCGGCCCATTCCAGTACTCCACATAGAATGTAACTCCATACTGTGGAATTATCTCGATGTTTCCTCTATCGCAAGCCACCTCAATCTGCCGATATCCAACCTTTTGAAATTGTTGTGGGTCAGGAGCAAGGTCCTTCACTTTGGGCATCTTTATTCCGAGTGCTGCAGCCTCCTGAATAAGTGCATCAAGTTCCCTCTTTCCATCGGGACCTGATCTATCAACCCTGTGATTTGCGACCTTGTATTCTCCTCCTTCTTTGTCATCGGCAATGTCAAAGAGGTCGACGGGCTCTTTGAATCTGGTGACGAAACTGGCGTTCCCAAAGGCCTTCTTGGTTGCCTCGACCGCTTTCGCGTATTCCTCTTTTGCAGAGTCTGACGAATGTGGTCTACCTTTGGCTCTCGGAGAGTAAGGTGGTACCTTACTTCCTAGTTCCGGCTCTTCTTCGGGAAGTTCAATATCTTCATCATCCACATCCATGTAGTCCTCGTCTTCGACGTCTTTGGATGACTTTGCTTTCCTCTTTCGGTTTTCAACATCACGTCGGATGATTGCCTTGTCGTCCTCGGTGAAGCACTTGCGCATAGTGTCCTCCATGTAAGAAAATGAT